GAGGATAAGGAGGAGGAGAAGGAGAAGGAGGAGGAGGAGACGGATGAGCAGGAGGAATAGTGATGAGGTGAGGAGAACGAAGAGGTGGAGGAGGATGACGAGGAGGAGGAAGAGGAGGAGCAACAGGAGGAGGAAGCGGAGCGAAGAGGAGGAGGAGGAGGAGGAGGAGGAGGCAGGAGGAGGAGGAGTACCTCCAATCGGAGGAGGAGGAAAAGGAGGAGGAGGAGGAGGAGCGAGGAGGAGGAGGAGGAGGAGGAAAAATAATAATAAGAAGAAGAATAAGGATAATAAGAATAAGAACAATAATAAGAAGAAGAAGAGGATGATAAGGAGGAGGAGGAGGAGGAGGAGGAGAGGAGAAGCGAGGAGGACGAGGAGGAGAAGGAGCAGAAGGAGGAGGAGGAGGAGGAGCGAGGAGGGAACTTGCCCAGGAGGAGCTGTCCCGGTGCTGGCCCCGCCCAGCACCTGTTGCGCCCACCGCTGCTGCTCCCCGGACATCTTGGACATCATGCTCTGCGCCTTCGCGAGGGTGGCGTTGGCCCTCTCGAGGTCCACCTTCAGGACCTGCGCCTCGCCCGTGCGGTCCTCGAACTCCGTGCGCAGCTCGGACACCTTTCGGCGGCGAGTGGGCGCCGCGGCCGGTGACCTACTCGAAGGAGAAGGTCACCGGCCGGCCTCAGCTCTGTGCGAGCTACGAGGGGGGGGAAGCGAGAAGGAGGAGGCACTCTCGGAGGGCGGCTGGACTTCTCAGAGGCCTTCCGGCCTTTGTCTGTGTCGCCGGGGAGGGCTCATGGGACACTTCTCCGAAGGCCCAGGGACTTCTGAGACTTCTGAGACGGCCAACCCCTTCTCACTTCCCGACCCCAGGCCCGCCGCCGAACCTTCTTGTCGATGGTCACGAGCTGCTGCTTGTACTCCTCGAGTTTGCCCTTCGAGGTCTCGAGCACCCTCTGCGCCTCGTTCAGCGCCTTCTCCATCGGTGCCACCTTGACGAGCACGGAGCTGTACTTAACGCACGCGGTGAACCACTTGGCGAGGGGCGCTGCGGCAACGGACACCCGGTAGATAGTGGCGTGGTCGAAAGAGTTCGCCTTCTCCTTCAACAGGGCCTCGGCCGATGACCTGACTTCCGCGCTGATCTCGCGGGGGTCGAAGCTCAAGATGCGCTGGATCGCACCGCTACCGGCGAGGAACTTCCGCATGGACGCCCACGAGTTGTCCGTGTTGCCCATCAGCCGGAGCACGCCGCTCAGCACGTCGTGGATGGGCTCCGGCGGCATCTTCAGCGCGCGGATCTCGTTGAGGTGGTCCGGCTTGATGCTGCCGACGGCCTTCTTCGCGGCGTCGAGCACGGGCTGGATCTCCGCCAGCTCCCGCTCGATGCCCTCCTTCTCTGCGGCGGTGCGCTCCTGGTCGACCTGGGTGGTCTGCTCCAGCCTCTCCACCTCCTGCCTGCGCTCGGCCGCCTCCTGCATGGCGGCGGTGATGCGCGTGAGCGCCTCCGCCGCGAGGGCCTGCTTCTGCTCCAGCACCTTGCCCTGCTTCAGGGACTCCTCCTCCTTCGTCCGGACGGTCGCGCTGACCTCCTCCAGCTTCTGCAGGCCCTTCTGCAGGTGGGTGGACTGCCCCGAGGCAGAGGAGACCTTGGACTCGTACATCCTCTTGGCCGTGTGCACCAGGGTGGTGAAGTGCCGCGGGCACGCGCCCACGGCCACCTGCAGAGGAACAAGACAAGGGCACAGCCATGAACTTTCGGAGGTCCGCGCGGAGGTCTTGGACCGGCGCGGAGCTCCAAAAGCTCATGCTGCTGTGCCGTGTCCTCCTCCTCGACGCCTGGCTGGAGTGCATGTGCAGGAGCAGCGGCGCCAGGCTGCCCCGCTTACTCTGCACGATCTCCCCGAGCATCTGCCCGATGATGTGCGTCTGGCTCGGCTGGCTCCAGTCGCCAAGCCAGAGCACCGTCGTGCAGGAGAACATCGCAGGATTCGCGGCGCACAGCGGGAGGAAGTGCGGATGGTCGGGGTCCATGGAGATAACTATCCGAAGATGGTCTCGGACTTGGCCCACGAAGTAGTCGAACGGCGTGCGCATGGAGCCGCCCTTGCCCTGGGATGCGGACCACTCCTCCTTCAGCGGCGCCAGTAGCGGATCGATCTCTTCTGGGGCCCAGATGCCAGGCACGTCGCCGCAGCTGAGGAGCGAGTTGATGCTCTCGGCGAACTCCGACTTCAAAAAGTGATGGTCTTCCAAGAAGAGGACCGTGTGCTGCTTCTCCACGCCGGACATCTTCATCACCTCCTTGAGGTCCCTCTTCCACTCCTTGTCGCCGTATTTGCGAGAAGGTGCTGGGGTGAACACTTGCAGGCGCTGCATCTGGAAGATCAGCGACAGAAGCGATCGACGTCCGCTGCCAGAGCGGCCCACGACGAGGACGTCGTTGAACGTGGGCGCTGCCAGGGCGCGGTCAATGCACGCCAGCTGGTTCATGCACTCTGGCACAAGCTCTATTGGCAGATCCTTCACTTCGCGCTCATATGATTTCTTGCCGTCCTCGATCATCTTCCTAAAGTCCGCCTGCGAGACCTTCTTCATTTCGCCCGTCGGCACGCCCTCGTCACCAAAGGTGAGCAGCGACGTGTACACCAGCTTCTCGACCTCGATGTCGATGTTGAAGAAATGGAGCAGCGCATTCTTGAGCATGCCGTCGAAGTGCGCCTGCGCCTCGTCGCCCACGAGGCGGTCCATGAAGATGCGGCACGCCTCGTAAGCCCAGGCCTCGAGGAAGGTCTCGTGAGAGAACACCTCGTAGCGAAGCAGCTGCAGGATCCACTGCGTGAGGTCGCGTGGGCTGAAGAGGTAGTGGTCTCGATCGTCCACGGTGAACTTGGCTTTCATCTGGGTGTAGATGTCCACCATGGCCTCCGCCAGCTTCCCACTGACATTGCCCACGCTCTGATAGGCGGGACTGGTAAGGACTGCAGCCACCATCTCGGTGTAGATCTGAACCAGGTCATCGCCTGTGGGGTACGAGATCGAGCAGGTGCGAACATTGGCACTGAATCTCTGCGCGAGCTTATGCCTGCCGAGCGTGGATGCAGGCGCGATTGACGCAACGATCTGGATGTGCTCTAGGGTGACGAACTCGAGGTCGTCGTCGTAGAAGCCATTGTGCTGCACTGCCTGCTGCAAGAACATGATCACCTCGGACGTGTCGTACTTATCCGGCGTAGGCAAATTGATGTCCTTCATATACAACACGACCCGGCGCCCCTCCTTGGGTCTGTAGACTCGGCCGCTTACGCCTGTGGAGACGGAGCAGAACTGCCGTAATTTCTGGAGCACGTCCTTGGAGGACGTCTGCGCGTTGCAATGCAGCACTGCAACGGTCAGAGCAACATCTGACTCGTTCTGCATCCGACGGATGGCATGCCTGATCAGCAGGTTCTTGCCGCAGCCCTCCGGCCCCGACACGATGAAGGGCTGCTCCTCGAGCAGCCAGGTCTTGAACAGGTCCATGTCCCTCAGCACCGACACCGTGGGGACCAGAGGCGGGAGCACGCTGGACCTCTGGACTGCCTCCAGCGACACGTCGGACCTCATGGAGGACGGCTCGTAGCGCGAGAAGGTGCCGCCTGCGAAGCAACAGTTGAGCGGCCGGGACGGGTCTGGCAGGTACTCGCTGGCCCACTGGAAGACCTCGTTGGTGAGCTCGCTGCGGCTCTCATCGGACAGGTTGCCACCAATGCCTCTGCACACGGCCAGCATGAATTCCTTCTTCGACAGCTCCGCTGGGGCGTCGCTGTCCGGGTCCTGGCGCGGGATCATCTGGCCGAGGACGTTCAGCACGAGACCCATCCTGGTGGTGTCGATGGACAGCTCCCGCTTGACCCGACTTCTGTAGACAAAGTCAAGCGCCTTGTAGAAAAGTGCGTCGAACCACTGCTCGTAGCTGGCCTGCATATAATCGGGCTGCCGCATGATCCACGAGGAGATCAGCGGCTTGATGTCCACGTCCTCCTCCGACAAGAATATCATGTTCAGGCGGCTGATCGTGGCGGGCGAGGCGAAGCGGAGGTGGTCAGTCTCGAAGATGAAATTGACGTTTGTGCCAAACTGGATGCGCTCGCCGTTCGGCATCGTCAGAAGGCGGTTATCGTCGAGGACGCTGTTGAGAGACTCAACCCACTCTGGATCCACATCTCCATCGCACACGATCCAGTTGTGGGTGGTCACTGGCTCCTTGATCACCTTTCGCGCGCTCGCGGTGAGCACGCCGTCGAACCACTCGCGGGTGTCGTGGTCCATGTGGCCTAGCAGGCGGACGCGGGCCATCGACTTCGGGTTCATCACGTGCAGGCGATACGTCTTGCCCTGCTTCTTGTAAGCACCCTCGAGCACCTTCCAGATCGTGGACTTGCCGCAGCCCGAAGGGCCCACGATGCCGACGCCCATGCGCTGCTGGCACGCCTCGTGGAACTGCAGCATCTTTCCGATCTGAGACTCTATCTCGCTCAAGCGCATCTCCTTTATCGTCTCGCGGATCACCTGCTCCAGCTCCTTGTACTCGATGTTCTTCACGTCCACGCCCGGGAACAGGTCCGAGCAGAGATCCTGGAAGCGGCGCGCGTCTGCAAACGTCAGCTTGGACGTCGTGTTCATGCGCACGGCCTTGATGAGCAGCACCGTCTCCTCCACGTCGGTCAGCGGCTGGCCGCTCTGCGCCTTCGCCTCCTGCAGGAGGCGCCCCGCCAGTGTCAGGATGGGCTTCAGCGCCCTCAGGCCCCAGTCGTAGTGCTGCTGCGGCGACAGCAGCTGGCGCGACAGCAGGAACAGCGAGACGACCTTCTGCGCACAGACCTTGGCGCTCTGGAAGCCCTCCGAGAACATCATGACCTCAGCAATGAGCTCGTTGTCGGGCACGCTCATGGCGACTGGCCGGAACAACTGCTTGAGGTTGTCAGGCAGCTTCTGGCGTCCGCCATATCCCTTGGTGGCAGGATTCAGCGTGATGAAGATCCCAGCGTTGTGATTCACGCTCACGTCACGGCCGAGCAGACTGACGTTCGGGTGGTGGTTCTTGATCGCCGCCTGGATGACCTGGATCAGCCCGGAGATGGCGCTCATCTGCTCCTCTCGGCGGTGGGCAAACCTCCCTTCAGTAAACCTCCCTTTCGTGAAAACGGCCTGGGACCGAAACCGACGGACCTGGACCCGCAAAAATGACGGCCGCGACGCGCTCTCGCGAGCCGAAAACGGCCAACTCCTTAATCGACGTGTCAGGGTAGGAAATCTGTCCACCCCCGATCCTCGAGGAGGCGGTTGAACTCGTCGAAGCAGCCCCAGGCTCCACAGCGCACCAGCCCCACGAAGATCCGGCCCATCGCCTGGAAGTCGATGCCTCGGGGGCTGCGCAAAGGGTGCCCCTGGCCCAAGAGTGCCCCCCCGCTCGTCGCCAAACTCTGGAGCTCCTGGGACCCCCTCTGGGCCCCGCGAAGGGGTGCTCCGGAGGCCGTTGGGGCCTCCATGGAACTCCTGGGGGCACCGTGGCCCAGTGGCAGTTCTGGCAGCACCCAGAGTGCCCTCGTCGCAGTTGAAGACGAGCACCTGCCGGCCCAGGCAGTTGCCCAGGGCCTTGACGGACTCCGTCTTGCCCGTGCCGGCTGGCCCGTAGGGGTTCCCGCCGTAGCCCAGGTGCATGCCGTGCATGAGCGTGAGGTAGCACTTGTCGGTGAGCGGCGTGTGCACCTGCGGGCCCCAAGAACACGTACCACCGCCACGTCGACTCCTCCTCTCTCCTCTACCCTCCTAGTCTTAGGTCGGGCACGTCCCCCTACAGGCAGATGTTGGACGAAACATAAGAAATAGTCAGAAAAAAACAAAGAAAACAAACATTCTCACAAAATCGTCCCCATAATATTTTTGGGGGCCATTTTTAATTTTCCTCCTGTAGAGGGACACGCCCGACTTAATCCTAGTCCTTCCCTCTTTACTGGGAGAGGGAGGGGGGAGGGAGGTGGTGGTACTGTATGTGCTTGGGTCCCGTAGCACCAGCTTCCCCGCATTCCCCTGGTACTCGAAGGAGTAGTTCAGCTCGCACTCGAGCATCCGAGCCGTGCACGGGTTCTTCTTCTCGCCAGGCTGCAAGTAGTAGCGCAGCTGCTTGAACCACCCCCACTCGGAGGCGCGCTGCACCTTGTTCGCCAGCATCTCGTCCAGAACGGAGATGTTGTGGATGAGGTCCAGGATCAAGCTCTTCAGCTTCGCCTGGGCCAGCGCGCCGGGGGCAGTCTGCGAGGTCATGCTGCTGAGCTTCTCCTGCAATTCCCCTTTGAACTGCAGCAGCTGCCCGCTCTGGATCTTCGTCTCGATGTTGCGCGTGAAGTGGATATTCTCGCTGAGGCACAGGAGCTGCGACGGGCTGCTCTCGAACGTGCCGCCGTCTATCTCGGGTGTGGAGAAGATCTTCTGGAGCTGCACGGTCAGAGTCGACATCATCTCGTTGGAGAGGTCGCCGAGCCAGTCCTCCACGTTCCGCGGGTCCTCTCCCACCTTCACGACGACGGGCCGCTGCAGCGGGACGACCTCCTTCAGGGAGCTCTTCATCGCCAGGATCTCGGTGACGCCCTCGTTGAAGTCCACGGTGGCGATGCCTGCGAAGAGCTTCTTGAGGTGCGACTGGATGACCTCGGGGTTGCTCGACTGGCCGAGGATCTCCAGGAGGTCCTCTAGGCGGCGCGCCCAGGGGGGAAGCGAGAAGGAGAAGGCCTTCTCAGAAGGCTCGGGAGTTCTCGGGACTTCTGAGAAGTTTTCCAAGCATTCCCCGAAGACGGAAACAAACTTCCCAGAAGGCCAGAGGCCTTCTGAGAAGTCCCGCCGCCTTCTGAGAGGGCATTCTCCTTCTCGCTTCCCCCCCTCGCTCGCTGCCGATCCTCGTCGCCGATGAAGTAGAGGCGGGGGAAGGCGGAGCGCTTCTCCTCCAGGAAGTCGTTGAGCGCGCGCTGGCACCGCTCGAGCATGTCCGCCAGGTTCGTGAACTTGTCCTTCAGGCGCGGCATCGAGCAGAGGGTCACGACCTGAGGGGGCCCATGGGGCACACAAAGGAATGCACACAAATGGCAGGATTCCCCATCTGTTTCCATATCTGTTGGATGTTCGTCTTCCCCCTCCCCCACCACTTCCCCTGTTTTCCCATAATTTCCTGGCAAGCCACGATTCACTGTGTCTGTGTGTGTTTTCCCCTCCTGGCGGCCTTCTTCTTGTGGCCGATCTCCTTCATGGTCTGCCGGTACTGGCTGTCGATGGTGTCGAAGCGCTCCTTCTCGTGGGGCAGCGCCCCCCGGCCGAAGATGGGCTCCAGGTAGACCCACTTGCGCTGCACCTTGTTCATGATGATCAACAGCTCGTCGATGGTGACGAGCTTCTCCTCGAACGCGTCGCACTGGTCCTTGAAGGGCGCGAAGAAGCGGGAGTCCTTGAGGGAGCCGCAGAGGTTCTGCTTGTCCGACACGTCCGTCATGATGTCCTTCCAGTCCTTGATCAGGGGGACGATGGCCCCCTTCACGATGTGCTCCATGAAGTTGAACTCCGCCTGCTCGAACCACACCTGGACTTCCATCACCGCGTCGCGGATGGTGACCTCTCCGATGGCCCTCGCGGTGAGCTCCTTGATCTCCTCCGTCTTCTCGACGACGGCGCCGATCCTGTCCAGGACGTCTCGGAAGCTCAGGCTGTCGTGCCTCTGGTCCAGAGGCAGCCCCAGGTAGCCGAACAGGATCTTCCAGTGCTCCTTCTCGAAGGGCTCCCCCGTCATGCTCCTGCAGAAGGGGGGGGGGGGGCAGACGGCGCGCACAGAAACTCTCGGGGAGGTCCGCGCAGATCTCCTGGATCGGCCCGGGGCCCCCCGCCCTGGCGCGCGCAGCGCGCCAGGGGCGGCGCCGGAGGTGCCGCCAGCGGGACCCAGCGCTGGTCCAAGAAATCCGCGCGGCGCTCCGAAAACTGATGTTTACTAAAGGGAAATTAGGACACACAAATAAATACACACAAATAAAACTAGTCCCCATATTTTCCCATATTTTCTGGGTTTTTGTCTTCCCCCCCAATTCCCATATTTTCCCATATTTTCTGGGGAATCGACGATTAATTGTGTCTGTGTTTTTTCCCCTCCTGATTTACAGCCAACCCCTGTAATGAGGACGCGCGGTGAGGATGCAGGGGCCTTGGAGGGCCATGTCGACACCTTGCGGGCCGGGCGCGGCCAGCGAAGGCGGCCGAGGGTGGGCCGAAAAAGGGCAGGATGCAAGGGCAGCCTGGGAGAGTTGCTCGTCCCTACTCTGCGGGTGGACTGTACGCCGCTCTCTCTCTTCTTGGATCCTCAGCCCCGGGTGCGCCGAGGAGAGCTTCTGCACCTGCTGCGAGATGAGGTGGACCCGCGGGCCTCCCCCGGGGGGGCCAGCAGGCTGCGAGGCGTGGGCTGCCCACATCCCTGCGCCAGATGCCGTCAGAGCACGCGCGGCCATGCGAGCACTCTGAGATTGTTTTTGTTCCTGTTGCTTTTGCTATTGCTTCTTCGGAGCTTCGCACGCCGTCAGTTGAGCAGGGAACGACCGTCCTGGCGGCAGTCCTAGAGGCCTACCACGAAACGCTCTTGGAGCCCAAAAATAGTCTGAAAACAAAAACACTATTCTTAGAACAAAAACCCGATGTGTTAAAGGTTTCAACAGGACAGTCTCAGCCAGAAATGCTCTAAGAACAGTTCGTGCAGACCACAACAGGTTCTTAGAACATTCTTTGGTGGGCCTATAGGCGCCACTGCTTGAGTCAGCGCCAAGGCGTCGACCGGGACACGAGGAGGAGGGGGGTCGGCGGCAGAGGGCGAAGCCCTGCAGATGACGTTGTCTCGCGGCAGCGGCACCTCCTTCAGCTTCTCCGTCCAGGCCCCGCAGAAGTCCTGGAGCACGAACAGCCGCGGCCGGATGTCCAGCCACGTCAGCTCGGCGAACTTGTCCAGCTCGGAGGCGAAGTCCTCGAACATCGACCAGCTCTGCTGCTGCTTCTCGATGTCCTTCTCCAGCGCCTCTGGGTTCACCAGCTTGGAGGAATCCACGCTGAAGGCCTCGCAGTCGGTGATGATGGTCTGGATCTGCTCCTTGAGGTCGGTCCACTTGGCCTGCCAGTCTTGCATCACCTCCGCGTTCTTCTTCGCCTCCTCGATGGTGCACCCCTCGGCCGTCTTGGGCTTGGTACCCTGCCAGCGCGACTGGAACATCTCGATCTCCGAGTTCATGTTCTTGATGCGGCCGTCCATCTTGTCGCGGAGCTCCTGGCGCAGCTCCTGCGCCAGCTCCTCGAAGGCTCCTAGGCGCGCCACGAAGTCGTCGAACTTGTTCTGCACCTCCCCGAGGTCGAGCCCCGCGGAGACGGTGCGCAGGATCTTGTTCCTCTCCTCGGCCGCCTCGAGCTGCTTCCTGACCCCGTGCTGCTGCTGGCCGAGCTCCTTGGCGTCCGCCTGGGCCTTGCCGAGCTCCTGCACGGACTCCGGGCGCACGCTCAGCTTCTCGAGGGCCTCGTCGAGGAACTTGTTCACCTCCTTGACATGGTCCGAGACTCTCCGCTTCAGGCAGATCATGAGGCTCTCGCTGAGACGTTCCATCTGGTCCTCGATCACAGACTTGAGCACTGAGGTGCTGATGGTGAAGCAGTCGACCCTGACGACGGTCGGTATCTTGTCCACGTCCTTTCGCTTGTTCTTCAGCGCCTTGAAATTGAGCTCGAACTCCTGGGGGGTGTCGAGCTCGTCCACCATCTCCTGGACTCGATCAGGGTTGAGACCCAGGACGACCCACGGCAAGAACGACCTCTGCACCGCCTCCACCTTCGCGAAGAGCTCGTCGGCCTTCTTGAAAACCACCCCGATGGCAGCCTGATTCCTCTCGAGGATGGCCTTGTACACCTGCGGAGCACCCTCGAGGCCCTTGAAGCCAAGCGGGAAGGAGATGAACTGCTTTATCTCCTTGTAGTACAATATCTTCAGGTCCTCCAGCGGCGGCTTCATGCGGAGCTGCTTGTTGGTGAGGACAAGGTCGGCCTTCATCTCGGGCAGGTTCTCGCTCAGGCTCTCCAGGCCGAACTGGTACTGCACCTCCATGATCTTGAAGATCTGGTGGTCCCAGTGCTCCCTCCACGGATTCGCGCTCTGCGCCTGGCAGCCGCAGGCCACCACCGCCTTGTCGATCTGGTCCTGGACGGTGGCCTGCGGGGAGGCGGGGGGCGAGCGAGAGTGATCCTGGGTAAGAATGACCTTTGGTGCGCGGCTTTTTGGGGGCCGCGGGGAGACCAAGCCTGGGCGCGCAAGCCGCTGCTCCCCGGACCTCCCCAGGGGCGCGCGCACTGAGGAGGAGGAGGAGGAAGAGGAGGAGGAGGAGGAGGAGGAGGAGGAGGAGAAAAAGGAGGAGGAGGAGGAGGAGGAGGAGGAGGAGGAGGAGGAGTGAGAGGAGGAGGAGGAGGAGGAGGAGGAGGAGGAGGACGAGGAGGAGGAAGAGGAGGAAGAGGATGAGGAGGAGGAAGAGGAGGAGGGGGAGCTGGCCAGGATCTCGAGGCGAACCTGGCCGTGGCCGCGGCGAGGGCAGGGCCGCGGCTTCGGCACGCTTCTCCGCCCCTGCCGGCCAGCTTCTGCTTCCACTGGTCCCTCTGCCGCAAGAGGCTGATGTTCGCCAGCTGGACCACCTCGGACGTGACCTGCGCGTGGCCGTTGCGGAGCCGCCGGTTCACCTCCTGCAGCCGCTCGGCTCCGTCCCTCACGGCGCGCGTGAAGGCCTCGAGCTGGTCGAGCTTGGCCCACTGGACCTTCTTCATGCTGCTCTGCTTGTCGTTGTTCAGCAGCTGCTCGAACGCCAGGGCGGGGTTCAGCACCATCAGCTTCTGCGACGGCAGCAGCTCCGAGGACATGCTGTTGTAGAAGTTGCAGATCTGCTTCAGCTGCACCGCGTAGCGGTAGAACTTGAGGCCTTCCTGCACCGCCAGCTTGACCTTGCTCGGGATGGGGCCCGCGTTCATCTGCTCGAAGATGCGGGCCTCCTTCACCAGCTGGATCAGCCTCTCGGAGTAGGTCACCTTCAGGGCACCCTGCTGGCTGGTGTCGAAATCCATCACTCGACTGTTCATCTCCAGTGCAATGGGCTCGTCAGGGTCATTCAGCTGTGACTCCACCTCTGTTTTCCAGTCCTTAAAGACCTTAAAGGAACAAAGCATGGCATAAACGTAAAAAAACTGCCAGGGGTCCACGCGGATCTCATGGATCGGCGCTGGAGCCCCCTCCCTGGCGCGCGGGCCCGCCCAGGAGGCACCGCCAGCGGGGCCCAGCGCCGATCCAAGAAATCCGAGCGGAGCTCCGAAAGTGGATATGCATGCAGCTTTCTGTCCTCCTTCGAGGCGTCAGCGGTTGCCGAGGGCCACGGGCCCTGGCCCCTGGGGCCTTTCCCCCGGACCAGCTCTCCGTCCCGAGCCGTTCTTGCTTGACGGTCCCCCCCAGGGCCTGCGGATGGGGCCCCCGAGCCCGAGACCGCCCCCGAGCCTCAGGACCGCTTCCCTCGGGACCCTCTCTTTAGGGGGCCACATGCGAACCCTACCCCTACCCCCCACGATTTCTGAGGGGGAGGAGGGGGGGGGTCACTTCGTTTCGGGAGCGCCCAAGCGAAGTGAACCCCGCCCTCCCCCTCAGAAATCGTGGGGGGTAGGGGTAGGGTTCGCATGTGGCCCCCTAAAGAGAGGGTCCCGAGGGAAGCGGTCCTGAGGCTCGGGGGCGGTCTCGGGCTCGGGGGCCCCATCCGCAGGCCCCGGGGACCGTCAAGCAAGAACGGCTCGGGACGGAGAGCTGGTCCGGGGGAAAGGCCCCAGGGGCCAGGGCCCGTGGCCCCCCATTCTCTGCCCTCCCGGCGAGGGGCCTTCGTGCGCATGTCCTTCAGGTCCTGCCGCACCTTGCGGTAGGTCGAGGCCACCTTCGGGGCGCCGTGCAGGTCCTTCAGGAAGCCCTGCAGCGGCCGGGCCGCCAGATCGGCCTTGCTCCGCAGCTGCTCCACCCAGAGGATCTTCCTCGAGGGGGCGAAGAACGGTGTAAGATATAGCACCCCGCAATTGCGGATAAGAGTGAGGGGGCGGGCGCGGGCGACGCGGGCGTCGTCAAGCCGGCGGACCTCGTGGCCCCCACCTTCCTTGTCGATGGCGCTCTCCTCCTCCTCCTCCTCCTCCTCCTCCTCCTCCTCCTCCTCCTCCTCCTCCTCCTCCTCCTCCTCCGCCTCCTACTCCTCCTCCTCTTCCTCTTCCTCGTCCTCGTTCTCATCGTCATCGTCGTCCTCCTCCTCCACCTCGTCCTCCTCCTCCTCCGCTTCTTCCTCGTCCTCCCTCTCCCCCCCTCGTCCTTCCATCATCGTCCTCCCATTGTCGTCATGTTCCTCCTCGTCGTCCTCCTCCTCTTCCCCCCCTCCCGATCCTCCACCCTCCTCCTTTTCGTCGTCGTCGTCGTCGACGTCATCGTCGTCGTCCCCTCCCTCCTCCTCCTCCTCCTCCTCCTGCTGCTCCTCCTCCTCCTCCTCCTGCTGCTCCTCCTCCTCCTCCTCCTCCTCCTCCTCCTCCTCTCCTCCTCCCCCTCCTCGTCCTCCTGCAAAAGCAGCCCGCCGCAGGCGCCGAAAAAATTGGTTTGTACACTGAACGTGGTTTGGGTCGCGGGTGGGCCGCGGGTTCTCCACCGGGAACGAATGCAAAAGATGCCCGCCGCAGGCGCCGAAAAATGTGGTTTGTACCCTGAACGTGGTTTGGGTCGCGGGTTGGTCGCGAGTTGATCGCGGGGTGGGTCGCGGGCTCTCCACCTGGAAGGAATGCAAAAAAAGCCCGCCGCAGGCGCCGAAAATGTTGGTTTGTACCTTGAACGTGGTTTGGGTCGAAGGTGGGTCGCGGGTGGGTCGCGGGTGAGTCGCGGGTGGGTCGCGGGTGGGTCGCGGGTGGGTCGCGGGCGGGTCGCGGGTGGGTCGCGGGGTGGGCCGCGGGCGGGTCGCGGGGTGGGTCGCGGGGGGTCGCGGGTGGGTCGCGGGGTGGGCCGCGGGGTGGGTCGCGGGGTGGGTCGCGGGTGGGTCGCGGGTGGGTCGCAGGGTGGGTCGCAGGGTGGGTCGCGGGGTGGGTCGCGGGGTGGGTCGCGGGGTGGGTCGCGGGGTGGGTCGCGGGTGGGTCGCGGGTGGGTCGCGGGTGGGTCGCGAGTGGGTCGCGGGGTGGGTCGCGCGGTGGGTCGCGGGGCGGGTTGCGGGTGGGACGACGACAACAAACAACAACAACAACAACAACAACAACAACAACAACAACAACAACAACAACAACAACAACAACAACAACAACAACAACAACAACAATCATTTTACCCGAACGCTCAGTGTTCTCCCCAGTGCCAGGGTTTTCTTGCGACACCAGCCAATACCCCCACTTCGTGGGGGGGCCGTTCAAGCTCTACCAAATATCCAAACGACTCTTCGAGACCACCCACACCCAGCTTCCCGCCCTATGACGTTGGGACACTTCACTTCGTGGCGTGCGGACGACCCTGGCTACTACACTGGCGTGGGGTACACACCCACAGAGGTTGATCACATCTGTTACATATGATGTGGTACACGGTACACGTGAGATGGTACGCAGTGCCAAGATAGTTGGTCACATTTTTGGGGCAAATTCGTGGGGATGCGATTACAGAAGTACATGTGTTACACTGATGTTATACAGTCCCAAGGATGACGCATGCATTGCTCATAGACTCATGGCGCTATGATCCTAACTCTCAGTGCCCAACGCGCGCGTGCACAGCCAGACGGAGGGAGAGAAACACATGTATACAAGGTTCGTGACATACGCACGGTCCACCATGTTGTAAACGATCGCATGCACGGTAAGTTCTGAAATTATACGTATGTACAAGCAGACATGCGAGGGAGAAAGGGAGATGGCCATCGACAGTTCCAATACGGCTCCAAGGCGGAAGAGGGGGAGGAGGAGCAGGACAAGGAGGAAAGGAGAGAAGCGAGAAAGGAAGAACGCAGACGGCGCGGCTCTGGACACAAAGGGGTGCCATACTTTCTCCTGCTTTCGCAAACAGGTCCAGTCACACGTAGGGGTATACTCAACCGAATGGTCTTCGCATCCAGAAGCATACTAAAGGCGCGACGCATCGTCGTCTGCGATGGCGCGGAGCGGGCGCGTGGGTGCCCGGCTGCCTGGCTGATACACGTGCGGGCCTGGCTGATACCCGTGCGGTCCCAGATGCCCAATGAGATTGCCGATACGCCTGCTGGCGGGAAGGCCAGTGCTTGCATACGGCAGTGCTACCGCGAGCACGTTGTGGACCTGCGGTGGCAAGATTCATCAAGAGACCGCGAATGGATTTCGAGATTTTTCGGATGAGAAAGTAGTGCGTTTTCATATGTTTTCTGAACATCGCATCTTGAAATTATTGAAAACCCATTGTGTTTGGCAGGATTTCGACATGCGCGCGCGGCGGCCGCGCGCATGTGCACTTCGTCTCATTTTTTGCAAGGGATGGTGGCCCTCGCAGGCGCGCAACCGTTGTTGGAGAAGTTCAAAGCACCTGAAGAAGTAGCACGCAAAGACCCTTTTGACAGAAATGTTTAAAAAGTGGTGTGTTTCCTATGAATCCGCAAGAGCGCGCGGAAGGACATTTTGACAATTTTTTCTTAAAAAACCATTGGGTTTTTGATGTTTTTATGTTAAAATCGCTACGAAACCTAAGGTTTTGGAAGGATTTCGTCTTGCGAGCGCGAATGTCCACTTTACCTTATTTTTTGCAAGGGATTCTTGAAATTTGATCAACTAAGAACAAGAATTTTCATTTTCTATTGTTTTTTGCAAGGGAAAACGAGCGTCAACAAAAAACCGGATCCGGGGGTAATCCACTTTTCTGAAGCTTTCGCAGAAAAATGATGAAAATGTAGCTGCGGCCTAGGTTTTGGGCGGGGGGCGTGCACCAGGGGGTCCAACAATAATAATTCTTTAGAAGTAATAGTGTTCAACAACAACCAACAACAACAACAACAACAACAACAACAACAACAACAACAACAACAACAACAACAACAACAACAACACGAATCCGCACCGCGGAATCTCACTTCAGCCACGCACCCAGGGACAATGAATGACCGTTCGGCCCCCTCACTCTGATAATCGGGGGCGCGCAAACATGGATCAGCAATCCATGGATTTAGCGCGCGGTCGCTGAATCCATGCATCGGGGGAGGTGCCCTCCCCGAAACCCATGGAAACGGGACCGGTCGCTAATCCACGCCCCCTTGATCCATGTTTGAAGGGGCCCACGAACACACAAATAGATACACACAAATAACAGAATTCTTAATAGTTTCCTATATTTGATGGGTTTCTGTCTCCCTTCCACTTCCCATATTTTCCCATATTTTCTGGAGAGTCGACGATCAATTGTGTCTGTGTGCTTCCTTCCCTCCTGAATGTTTGCCATCCCCCGAGGCAAACTGTCTCGCCGTGGGGGGCGCCTGCCCCCCGGGCGGCTGGGAGGTTTGCACCCCCACGTGGCGCCCCAGGAGCAGGAACTCTGCCCCTGCCTGTGCCCCCTGGGCTGGTAGGTTTGCACCCCCGCGTGCAAAGCTTCCGGCCTGCCCCCTGGGCGGCTGGAAGGTTTGCACCCCCACGCACGTGGCACCCCAGGTCTGCACCCCGTGTGCACCCCCACGTGGCACCCCGGCCGCCCTGGGACAGGCATCCCCGACGGCGGACAAGCCTCGCCCTTCGACCCCGAACTCCTGACGTGCTCGCTGAGGCCCTGGCCCTTGGGCAGGTTCTGGGGGTCGAACGTCTCCAGCTCGTGCAGCACGCTGCCGACGAAGTCGCCGAGCTCGGTGAGGAGGTGCTCCTAACCAGCCTCGAACTTGTCCCTATCCCCAAGATGGGCGAGCAAAAGGCGAGGACAATCCTAGCGATGTGCCCCCAGAAACCGAGGGGGACCTTGAGATCGGCATCGAGGCGAAGTGATGCCAAACACAGGGATAGGGTTATGTTGCTCCCGTCGTACTTAAAGACCACATCCCAGAAATAATGTCGAGCGCCTGGAAAAGTGTCGAAACAGTGTCGGACGAGTGTCTCCCAGGGCCCGACACGTGAAGACCATCGAGTTTCGGTACCTTTTGGGGGGCTCGAAACTCTTTCTCGTGCTGACATGCGACGTCCTGACATCATAACCCAGACATGCGACGTCCTGACTTTTTCAGGACGGCGTCCCCGAAGTCCCGACCCCGTCCCCGGGGCCGGCTTGCCATCCTGACTCGTTTTTGCCGGTCCTGGGGCCCGGCGAGGGCCCCCAGGGAGGGGCAGCAAACAGCGAACAAAAACCCGTCCAGATGTTTGTTGTACGACGCGATCGTGTGGGAAGGACAGGGACAAGCTTCGAACTGGTGAGCTCCCTCTCGGGCGTCAGGACCTCCCGGATGCCCTTCCGCTCCAGCAGGTTCTGGTACCGCTGGAACACGCGCACCTCTCGCAGGGGCGGGGGCGAGCCGAGACGGCGGCGGCTCGGGCTCGGTCCCAAAGGACCCCTCTTTGGCTCCTCCTCCTCCTCCTCCTCCTCCTCCTCCTCCGCCTCCTCCTCCTCCTCCTCCTCCTCCTCCTCCTCCTCCTCCTCCTCCTCCTCCTCCTCCTCCTCCCCTTCCTGCTCCTCCTCCTCCTCCTCCTCCTCCTCCTCCTCCTCCTCCGCCTCCTCCTCACGAAGATTAGTACGGCAGGTTCGTGTCGTGTCGACCCCGGCGCTGGTTTCTGACACAGCGGGGATCGTTCAGCCTTGAACAATCGGCCGTTTCCGAAACGTCCAGATCGTTCCGCATCGAACGATTCTGGGTCGCCCGCGGCTTTCAACGTTAAACGCCGCTGGCGGGGTCGTCTCCGGTCGACACGACGCGAGCCTGCCGTCCGGACGGCATGGGTACGAGGCCCAGCGACAAAGTCTTGCCCAACACCGACAAGGGCCGATGTTGGGCAGGCGGAGCCGCGGCGACGCCGACAGCGAATACTGCTCAGAACGAACAACAACAACAACAACAACAACAACAACAACAACAACAACAGCAACAACAACAACAACAACAACAACAACAACAACGACAACGACAACGACAACAACAACAACAACAACAACAACAACAACAACAACGACAACAACAACAACAACAACAATCAGTTTAAGATTGTTCGCCCTTATCTGCTCGAGTGTCCAATAACGCCTATTTCCCAAACCCTCGATACCCGCCCTCTTCCTCTTCGATCGTACCCCTTTTGGTGGGTAGACCTTTCTTCCCTGCAGGCCCGGCCCCGGCAAGCGGCGGGGCGGCCGCGGACCGTCGACCCGACCCCAAGAGGGACGGACAGGGGACCGACCACGACGACGACGACGACGACGACGACGACGACGACGACGACGACGACGACGACGACGACGTCGAAGACGACGGCGACGACGACGACGACGACGACGAGCGAAAGCGAGAGCGAGAGAGAACGACAGCAGGGCCACGAAGGGCACGAAGTAGGCCACGAAGGGCGACAGCGGGGACACGAAGGGAATGCGTGTGGGGCCACGAAGAGCGCGAACGAGCGGGGGCCACGAAGTGCAGATAATGCGGGGCCACAGAAGGCAACTATGGGGCCACTGAGGGTAGCAACTGGGCCACGTAGGACAGTGAGGGGGGCACAAATGGCGACAGCGGGGCCACGAAGGGCATGCACATGGGGCCACAACGGGCGCGACTCCTGGGTGCCTGGGTGTCGGGAGCGCGGCGCTTGGGCAAATTGCAGGAAATTCCAACGCAAGGCCATTCTTCAGTAAGTTGCAAGCAAGTCTCCAGCGAGAGCGCGACTCCAGAGCGCCGGGAGAGCGATTCCTCAATAAATTGTAAGGAAGTCCCAAGCGAGAGCGCGATTCCTGAATAAAATGCGAGGAAGTCTCGGGCGGGAGCGGGGGTCCTGGCAAAATTGTGAGGAAGTCTCAAGCGGGAGCCGTTGTTGTTGTAACCCGGGGGCCAGGGGCCCAGTTTGAGCAGGAAGACTTTCCCTGTCAAAGAAAGGGTGCGAGCGTCGAGGGGCACACTTTGATTGAGAAAAAACCGTATGCACAGGTGGGGGGGATCAACAATAATTATTCTTCAGAAATGAGAACTCAACAACAACAACAACAAAACAACAAAACAACAAAACAACAACAACAACAACAACAACAACAACAACAACAACAACAACAACAACAACAACAACAATCATTTTACCCGAACGCGTGGTGTTCTCCCCAGTGCCAGGGTTTTCATACGACACCAGGCAATACCCCCACTTCGTGGGGGGGCATTACAAGCTCTACCAAATATCCAAACGACTCTTCGCGACCACCCAAACCCAGCTTCCCGCCCTATGACGTTGGGACACTTCACTTCGTGGCGTGCGGACGACCGTGGCTACTACACTGGCGTGGGGTACACACCCACAGAACTTGGTCACTTATTCGGGGCGCGCATGTGCCCAGCATGGTGCAATTGTGCCATACAATACAGCGCGCAGAGAGAAAGAGAAAGAGACAGAGAGGACCTACGGTGCGATTCGTGTGATTTTATGATGCGCGGTGGTAAAATTCTTAAGAACCCAATGGTTTTTGGAGATTTCGGCGTGCGCGCGCGAAGAAAAAACGAATCTGTCCCGCATGGTATTATTTGACAGGGATGATGGCCCTGGCAGGTGCGCAACCGTTGTCGCAGAAGTTCGAAAAAGTTGCTCGCAAAAGCCCGTTTGACAGAAATGTTGAAAAAGTGTTGGGTTTCCTACGAATCCGCAAGAGCGCGCGGGATGAGATTTTGACATTTTTTTGTTGAAAAACCATTGGTTTTTTGATGTTTTTATGTTAAAATCGCTCCGAACACTAAGCTTTTGGAAGGATTTCGTCTTGCGCGCGCGAATGTCCACTTTACCTTATTTTTTGCAAGGGATTCTTGAAATTTGATTATATTAGAACAAGAAATGTCATTTTATAGTGTTTTTTGCAAGGGAAAGCGGGGGGGAACAAAACAACCGGATCTTGATCACATCGAATTACCTGAGGCTTCCTCACGAAAATGATGAAAATGTAGCTGCGGCCTAGGCGGCGCAGGGGGGCCGTGCACCAGGGGACCCAACAATAATTATTCTTTAGAATTAATAATGTTCAACAACAACAACAACAATTACTAGCACGTGGGGACACTCCGTTCTCACCAGTGCCAGGGTTTTCATAGGAGGCGGGCAATACCCCCACTTTGTGGGGGGGCGGGTTCAAGCTCTACCAAATTTCCAAACGACTCTTCGCCACCACCCACACCCAGCTTCCCGCCCTATGACGTTCGGACACTTCACTTCGTGGCCTGCGGACGACCGTGGCTACTACACTGGCGCATGGGTACAGTGACTTGTTGTGGTAACATTTTCTGGACGCTAGCTTAGTATACGACTTTTCCCCCTGTTCCAACACTGGACACCTGTACTGGTTTTTGGTGGTAGCGTGTTCCTGACGCATGTAACATAAATGTTGAAAAACCATTGGTTTTTTAGGATTCGGACAGCGCGCGCGGGTAGAAATTTTGAAAATTCGTACAGATGTTTTTCGAGGACCTACGGTGCGATTCGTATGATTTTATGTTGCGCGGTGCTAAAATCCCTAAGAAACCCAATGGTTTTTGAAGATTTCGGCGTGCGCGCGCGAAGAAAAAACGAATGTGTCCCGCATGGTATTATTTGACAGGGATGATGCCCTGGCAGGTGCGCAACCGTTGTTGGAGAAGTTCGAAGCACGTGAAAAAGTTGCTCGCAAAAGCCCGTTTGACAGAAATGTTTAAAAAGTGTTGGGTTTCCTACAAATCCGCAAGAGCGCGCGGGATGAAATTGTGACACTTTTTTTTGAAAAACCATTGGTTTTTTGATGTGTTTATGTTAAAATCGCTACGAACACTAAGGTTTTGGAAGGATTTCGTCTTGCGCGCGCGAATGTCCACTTTACTTTATTTGTTGCAAGGGATTCTTGAAGTTTGGTTATGTTAGAACAAGAAATGTAGCTCGCGCGACATTTTTGCAAGGCGACGGAAAAACCGCACGATAAACAAAACAACCGGAACCGGCAAACGATTGGCGTTTTGCCGGAGCATAGATTTCCGTAAGCCTTTGATTGGAAACATGGCTTGCGCATCTGGGGCGGCGAATGGGGGCCGTGCACCAGGGGCCCCAACAATAATTATTCTTCGAAAGTAATAAGTGTTCAACAACAACAACAACAATTACTAGCACGTGGGGACACTCCGTTCTCACCAGTACCAGGGTTTTCATAGGAGGCGGGCAATACCCCCACTTTGTGGGGGGGCCGGTTCAAGCTCTACCACATTTCAAAACGACTCTTCGCCACCACCCACACCCAGCTTCCCGCCCTATGACGTTCGGACACTTCACTTCGTGGCCTGCGGACGACCTTGGCTACTACACTGGCGCATGGGTACAGTGACTTGTTGTGGTAACATTTTCTGTAAGCTAGCTTAATACACGACTTCTCCCCCTTTTCCAACACTGGACACCTGTACTGGTTTTTCGTGGTAACATGTTCCTGACGCTAGAATAGGAAACCACGGTAAACCAGTACGACGCCGGTACTGTCTGTAGGTCCTACAATGATATGGACTGCTTTGGCTGGTACGGCGCTAGCGTCTGATACGACTTGTTGTGGTAACATGCCGACGACGACGACGACGACGCGACGACGCGCGCATGTGTCCCGCATGGTATTTTTTGCAAGGGATTGTGGCCCCTGGCAGGCGCGCGAACGCCGTTGAAAGAGCGTGCGAAAGTAGCTCGCGCGAGCTCATGTAACATAAATGTTGAAAAACCATTTGTTTTTAAGGATTCGGACAGCGCGCGCGGGTAGAAATTTGAAAATTCCGTGCGCGTGTTTTTCGAGGACCTACGGTGCGATTCGTGCGATTTTATGATACGCGGTTCTGAAATTCTTAAGAAACCCAATGGTGTTTGAAGATTTCGGCGTGCGCGCGCGAAGAAAAAACGAATGTGTCCCATATGGTATTATTTGACAGGGATGATGGCCCTGGCATGCGCGCAACCGTTGTTGCAGAAGTTCGAAGCACGTGAAAAAGGTGCTCGCAAGAGCCCGTTTGACAGAAATGTTGAAAAAATATTGGGTTTCCTCAGAAATCCGCAAGAGCGCGCAAGATGAATGTTTGAAACTTTGTTTTTGAAAAACCATTGGGTTTTTCATGTTTTTATGTTAAAATCGCTACGAAAACTAAGGTTTTGGAAGGATTTCATCTTGCGCGCGCGAGTGTGCACTTCGTGTCATTTTTTTGCAAAGGATTCTTGAAGTTTGGTTATGTTAGAACAAGACATGCCATTTTATATTGTTTTTTGACAGGGAAAGCGGGCGTCAACAAAACAACCGGATCCGGACTCCCCCGTTTTGCCTGAGACTTCCTCACGAAAATGCTGAAAATGTGGCTGCGGCCTAGGCGCGGCGAGGGGGGCGTGCACCATGGGGCCCAACAGTAATTATTCTTTAGAAGTAAAAATATTCAACAACAACAACAACAATTACTAGCACGTGGGGACACTCCGTTCTCACCAGTGCCAGGGTTTTCATACGACGCCCGCCAATACCCCCACTTTGTGGGGGGGCCGGTTCAAGCTCTACCACATTTCCAAACGACTCTTCGCCACCACCCACACCCAGCTTCCCGCCCTATGACGTTCGGACACTTCACTTCGTGGCCTGCGGACGACCGTGGCTACTACACTGGCGCATGGGTGCAGTGACTTGTTGTGGTAACATTTTCTGGACGCTAGCTTGAAAAACCATTGGTTTTTTAGGATTCGGACAGCGCGCGCGGGTAGAAATTTTGAAAATTCGTACAGATGTTTTTCGAGGACCTACGGTGCGATTCGTATGATTTTATGTTGCGCGGTGCTAAAATTCCTACGAAACCCAATGGGATTTGAAGATTTCGGCGTGCGCGCGCAAAGAAAAAACGAATGTGTCCCGCATGGTATTATTTGACAAGGATGATGACCCTGGCAGGTGCGCAACGGTTGTTGGAGAAGTTCGAAGCACGTGAACAAGTTGCTCGGAAAAACCCATTTGACAGAAATGTTTAAAAAGTGTTGGGTTTCCGACGAATCCGCAAGAGCGCGCGGGATGAAATTTTGACATTTTTTTTTTTGTTTTTTTTTTTTTTTGAAAAACCATGGTTTGTTTGAGGTTTTTATGTTGAAATCGCTACGAACACTAAGGTTTTGGAAGGATTTCGTCTTGCGCGCGCGAATGTCCACTTTACCTTATTTTTTGCAAGGGATTCTTGAATTTTGGTTATGTTAGAACAAGAAATGTCCACTTTGCCTTATTTTTTGCAAGGGAAAACCGCCCGTAACAAAACAACCGGATCCGGACCAACCCGTTTTGCCGGAGACTTCCTCACGAAAATGATGAAAACATGGCTGCGGCCTAGGCGCGGCGAGGGGGCCGTGCACCAGGGGTCCAACAATAATTATTCTTTAGAAGCAATAATGTTCAACAACAACAACAACAACAACAACAACAACAACAACAACAACAATCATTTTACCCGAACGCTCAGTGTTCTCACCAGTGCCAGGGTTTTCATGCGACGCGAGACAATACCCCCACTTCGTGGGGGGCAGTTCAAGCTCTACCAAATATCCAAACGACTCTTCGCGACCACCCAAACCCAGCTTCCCGCCCTATGACGTTGGGACACTTCACTTCGTGGCGGGCGGACGACCGTGGCTACTACACTGGCGTGGGGTACACACCCACAGAACTTGGTCACTTATTCGGGGCGCGCGTGTGCCAGCATCCTGCAATTGTGACATACAATACATGACACAGACAGACAGAGAGAGAGACAGAGAGCAGACAGAGAGAGAGACAGAGAGAGCGGAGTTGGTCACATTTTTGGGGCAAGTTCCTGAGATCGTCGTGTTTTTTGTTGGTCTTGCGCGCGCGAATGTCAACTTTACTTTTTTTTGCAAGGGAGTATTGAAATTTGATTATGTTAGAACAAGAAAAAGTAGCTCGCGCGAGCTCATGTAACATAAATGTTGAAAAACCATTGGTTTTGTAGGAGTCGGACAGCGCGCGCGGGATGAAATTTGGACATTTTTTTTGAAAAACCATTGGGTTTTTGATGTTTTTATGTTGAAATCGTTACGAAACCTAAGGTTCTGGAAGGATTTCGTCTTGCGCGCGCGAATGTCCACTTTACCTTATTTTTTGCAAGGGATCATTGAAATTTGATTATGTTAGAACAAGAAAAAGTAGCTCGCGCGAGCTCATGTAACATAAATGTTGAAAAACCATTGGTTTTGTGGGATTCGGACCGCGCGCGCGGAAGGACATTTTGACAATTTTTTCTTAAAAAACCATTGGGTTTTTGATGTTTTTATGTTAAAATCGTTACGAAACCTAAGGTTTTGGAAGGATTTCGTCTTGCGCGCACGAATGTCCACTTTACCTTATTTTTTGCAAGGGATTCTTGCAATTTGTTCAAGTAAGAACAAGAATTTTCATTTTCGATTGTTTTTTGCAAGGGAAAACGAGCGTCAACAAAAAAACGGATCCGGAGCTCATCCACTTTTCTGAAGCCTTCGCGAAAAAATGTGTGTTAATGAAAATGTGGCTGCGGCATAGGCGCGCGCCGAGGTCTCGAACAGGGGTCCCACAATTAATAATCTTTAAAGGAATAATGTTCAAAACAACAACAACAACAACAACAACAACAATTACTAGCAAGTGGGGACACTCCGTTCTCACCAGTGCCAGGGTTTTCATACGACGCCCGCCAATACCCCCACTTTGTGGGGGGGCCGGTTCAAGCTCTACCACATTTCCAAACGACTCTTCGCCACCACCCACACCCAGTTTCCCGCCCTATGACGTTCGGACACTTCACTTCGTGGCCTGCGGACGACCGTGGCTACTACACTGGCGCATGGGTACAGTGACTTGTTGTGGTAACATGTTCTGGACGCTAGCTTAGTATACGACTTTTCCCCCTGTTCCAACACTGGACACCTGTACTGGTTTTTGGTGGTAACGTGTTCCTGACGCAAGAATAGGAAACCACGGTAAACCAGTACGACGCCGGTACTGTCTGTAGGTCCTACAATGATATGGACTGCTTTGGCTGGTGAGGCGCTAGCGTCTGATACGACGTTTTTCCGTTTCTGTACCACCAAGCGAAGACAAGTTTCTGAAAAAGTTGCTCGCAAGAGCCCGTTTGACAGAAATGTTGAAAAAATATTGGGTTTCCTAAGAAATCCGCAAGAGCGCGCGGGATGAATTTTTGAAACTTGTTTTTTGAAAAACCATTGGGCTTTTCATGTTTTTATGTTAAAATCGCTACGAAAGCTAAGGTTTTGGAAGGATTTCATCTTGCGCGCGCGAGTGTGCACTTCGTGCCATTTTTTGCAAAAAGGATTCTTGAAGTTTGGTTATGTTAGAACAAGACATGTCATTTTATATTGTTTTTTGACAGGGAAAGCGGGCGTCAACAAAACAACCGGATCCGGACTCCCCCGTTTTGCCTGAGACTTCCTCACGAAAGTGATGAAAATGTGGCTGCGGCCTAGGCGCGGCGAGGGGGGCGTGCACCAGGGGGCCCAACAATAATTATTCTTTAGAAGTAATAATATTCAACAACAACAACAACAACAACAACAACAACAACAACAACAACAACAACAGCAACAGCAACAGCAACAGCAACAGCAACAACAACAACAACAACAACAACAACAACAACTGCTGCTGCTGCTGCTGCTGCTGCTGCTGCTGCTGCTGCTGGGCTTTGTACCCATTGTTTCCGTGCCCGTGTCGGTCCCCCCGACCCTCCCGGAGCGCAAGCGCACAAGTTACTCCGAGCTGCGCCCAGCCGTGGCGACTGGGGCGCCCCCTCCGGAGGCCAGCTGCCGTCGCGTGGCCCCGGCCCCCGACCCTGCGACGCCTTGACGTTTTCCATGCCGGGCCCCCCAGACGTCACGACCCCTCCTCCTCCTCCTCCTCCTCCTCCTCCTCCTCCTCCTCCTCCTCCTCCTCCTCCTCCTCCTCCTCTTCCTCCTCCTCCTCCTCCTCCTCCTCCTCCCTTTCCCCAGGGCCGGTTTCTTATCGCGAATCGCTTTTCTGGCGGTCCCCGGGGCCCAGACGAGGTCCCTGGAGTCCGAGAAGGGCCACAAGAAATCCCGCCGTCACTCTTCGCGACGCGAGCATGTCTGGGACTGATCCTCCTCTGAGCACCGTCTGTGCAGGGTTGGAGGTCCTGGTGCCCAGCTCCGCACGCAGCCTGTCCGCCACCTTCGACTCCACGGGGCCCATGTGTTTCTCGTACTCCGCGTTGGCGGCGCGCCACATCGGGAGCGTGTAGTCGTTGTAGCTGAAGACCTCAGAGGGGCAACAAAGACATAAGCATAAACTTTCAGAGGTCAGCGCGGATTTCTGGGACCAGCGCCGAACCCCGCTGGCGGCGCCTGGCGCCGCCCCTGGCGTGCTCCGCGCGCCAGGGTGATGCTCATGCATGTGTTTCTCCTTCGAGACCTGCAGCTTCAGGAAGGGCTCAAAGCAGCTCTCCAGCTGGAGGGAGCTCAGGTCCTCGTCGGTCAGCAGCTTCAGCACCTCGTCGTGCTGGCTCCTCAGGTTGTTCACCTCCTGGATGCGGAAGGCGAGGTTCGACAGGAACGGGTCCTTGAAGGGCTCGCCCGTCCACCGCCGCAGGTCCTCCTTGGAGGCCCACACCTCCTTGGTGAGCTCGACCGTGATCTCGTTCCAGCGCTCGCAGACCTTGTACCTAGAGCAGCACAGAAACAGCTGCGCGAGCACACGTTCTCTGAGGCCCGCGCGGATCTCCTGCATCGGCACTGGAGCCCCCCCCCCTTCCCTGGCGCGCGGGGGGGGCCCAACGCCGATCCAGGAGATTCGTGCGGACCTCTCACAGATCATGCTCATGCACAGCTCTCTCGGCGGTGGACCAACCTCCCTTTATCAAACCACCCTCTGGTGAAAACGGCCTAGGACCGACACCGACGGACCGGGATCCGCAAAAGTGACGGCCACGACGCCCCCTCGCGAACCGAAGGCGGCCAATTCGCGAATCGGCGTGTCAGGGCAGGAGGTCCATCGACCTCCGACTCTCTGCTCTTCGAGTCACCCCTCGCGGATGTGCTTGGAGGCCTGGGAGAAGGAGGACGTCCAGACGTTCAGGCCGTTCAGCTTGCCCTGCACCGAGCGGGCCAGAGCGCCCGAGAGCACTTTCAGCAGGTGCGCCATGCGGCTCTCTGGGTAGGGCGGCTTCACCTCCACCTGCCAGAGCTCGTCCAGGACGTCCTTCAGGTGCTCGGTCAGATCGGACAGCTGCGGCAGAGACTTCTTGTTGAGATCATCCACGTCGCTGCTTATCCCCGCGAGCACCTTGGCGATCTGGTCGGCCCGGTTGTACTCCGCGTCCTGCGCCGCGCTCTTGGCGTCCTTGTACTCGTCCCAGAAGTGGACCTCTGAAGGGGCCCTGGGACACACAGGATTCCCCATATTTTCCTATATGTTCTGGATTTTTGCCTTCCCCTCGCTTCCCATATTTTCCCATACTTTCTGGGGAATCGACGATTAATTGTGTCTGTGTTTTTTTCCCCTCTCGAACCTCGTCGATCGGAGTGATGATGCCGGACAGGTCGCTCTCGTCGAACTGAGTCTGCTTCTTCAGGCCTCTGCGGAAGGAGGCCTTGAGGCCCTCCTCCAGTTCGATGAGGCACTGGCTCAGGCGCCCCTCCAACGCCTCCACCTTGGCGCCAGACTTTATCAGCAGCGGGACGTAGACCTCCCGCATGCTGTAAAATAGGCTGCGCACTGGCGACTCGCGGAGGGAAGAGACCATCACAAGCTTCGAGATGTTCTCTGACGTCAGCGGCTCGAAGGACGTTTTCACGAAGTGCATCTCGTTCTTGCCGTCGGCGTAGCTCTGGAAGCCCAGGCAGAGCGAGACTTGCCTCTTCTGACTGTCGCCGTTGCTGCTCTCCACAGCCTGGAGGACCTTCTCGTTCTGGTCATCCAGGAACTTTTCCAATGCCTCGTTGGACTTCTGGTTGCTCTTGAAAAACTCCCGAGGGATGTTCAGGACGCTGATGATGCACTGCACGACGTACTCTTTTCGGGGGTCTGGATCGTTCATCTCGTCGACTGCAGGAGAAGATGTTCTACTTACTCTCTATTCGGCGGCGAGCGAGGGGAGAAGTGAGAAGGAGAAGTCCTTTTCAGAAGGTTAGGGAATCCCCTGGCCTTCTGAGAAATGGTCTAAGCCTTCCCCGAAGACAAACAACAACTTCTCAGAAGGCGCGAGGGCTTCTGAGAAGTCCCGCCGCCTTCTGAGAAGTCCTTCTCTTTCTCACTTCCCCCCTCGCTCGCCGCCGATCTATGCCTCGCGATTTCCCAGAGCAGAGTGGAGCATGCAAGGGCACCGGGGCCAGATGGGGGATATTGGCTGCTGGCGACGCTGCCAGCAGGCAAGAGGGACTGGCTGCAAGGTGAGTGCCTGGAGCCAAGAAATCTGTGGAGAAGGAAAACGAGGAGGAGAAGGAGGATGAGGAGGAGGAAGAGGAAGGGGGGAGGGGTGGGGGGGGGGAGGGAGGGAGAGAGGGGAGTGGGGGAGGGCGGGAGGGAGGAGGGGGGGTAGGGAGGGAGGGAGGGAAAGGGAGGGAGGGGGGAGGGAGGGAGGCAGGGGCGGAGGAGGAGGAGGAGATGCGTGATCGGAGAAGGAGGCGTGAGGAGGGAGGAGGAGGAGGAGGAGGGGGAGGAGGAGGAGGAAGGGGAGGGGGACGAAGAGAAGCGAGGGGGCGGCGAACACGAATGGCCCACGAGGGAGATCCCCAGACCGCCGACGAGGCCCTTCTGCCGCCCGCGGCCCCAGGAGATCTCGACGACCCCCTCCCTTTGTGGCCAGCCTGTCGCTCATCGCGACTCCTCCCTGACACTGGTGGACGCCATGACAATGGGCAACCTAACAATCCGATCATTGAACGAAACATGTGCTTAAAGTGTTTGGAACACGCTCTCAAAATGTCCAACACCCGTGCTTTACATGTCTAAGGCATGTTTGAAGCATGTGTGTTCGACATCTGGGAATCCTGTGGCAACATGCTTCCTCTCCATTGATCGTCGCCCACAACCCTACAGCCTACCCGTGGCCCCACGTTGGGCGGATAGTTGGGCGTCAAGCCCTCCTTTTCGGATCTCTGACCCACAGCCGCCGATGTGCAACAACAGCGCCAAACACGATGCGACAATGTGCTTGGCAATCTGCTGCCTCCAGGATGAGCCCCCCCGGCAGACCACCGCGTTCTGGCATCAGCCGCCTCTTGCTCCCGCGGGGCCCCCCACAACGGGCCAAGCGGCCCCAAAAGAGACGCCCAAGAGAGTCCGAGAGGCCCCTTCGACGGCCCCGAACGATCCCCCGAGCAGCTCCCAAGGCTGCATGAGAGGTCGTTTTTTTAAAAGGCCGAGGAGGGTACCAAGAGGCTCCCAGGAGGCCACTCCAGCGACCCCCGCGAAGCCCACCCCCCACGAGGAACCCACACCCCAGGTAACCGCCCAAGGCTGAACACGCAAGGCGCAAGAGGCGCCTGCAGAGCATGTCGCCCGCGGCAACGTGAGTCCGAGAAGCGGTAGAGACAGACGAGGGACGTATCGGAGCCGCGTCGGGCGCGAGGGAAAAAAGGTAAGACAAAACGGCGTAAACATAAACTTGTGGCGCTCCGCGCGGAGCACCACAAGTTTTTTTTTTTGTTTTTTTTTTTTTTTTTGTTTTTTTATCGCGCTTTTCCCACTTCGAGAAAGGGAAGGGGCGCGTGGTGGGAGGAAGCCGCGGGCGGCAGAACGCGGTCGGACCGTGAAGACTGCCGAGGAGGCGCCCCGAGGAGGCGCCCCGAGGAGGGGGCGCCCGAACAGGCTGCCGAGGAGGGCCCCGAGGAGGCGGCTGGCGAGAGCCTCCATGTTGCGTCCGTCACGGTGCGGAGAGCTTTCGCCCCCTCCTCCTCCTCCTCCTCCTCCTCCTCCTCCTCCTGCTCCTCCTGCTCCTCCTGCTCCTCCTGCTCCTCCTGCTCCTCCTGCTCCTCCTCCTCCTCCTCCAGTTCTGCGCCAAGGCGAAAGCCACATTTTGAAAAGGAACCGCCCTCAATCCGTGAAGCTCTTGCACATTTGAAAAACAAATTAAAAAGGTCCCCGAGAAAAAAAACAACCATCATTTTTTTTTTGGGGGGGGGTTATGGGGCTTTAGGGCTTTAGGGCTATGGGGCTATAGGGCTATAGGGCGATGTGGCCATAGGGATATAGGGCTAGAAGCCGTCGGGGCTATGGGGCTATAGGGCTACAGGGCTATAGGGCTAAGGGCTATAAGGCTATTCGGGCTATTCGGGCTATAGGGCTATATACGGCTATAGGGATTTAGGACCATAGGGCTATAGGGCTATAGGGCTGTAGGGCTATAGGGCTATGGGGCTATGGGGCTATGGGGCTATGGGGCTATTGGGCTATTGGGCAATTGGGCTATAGGGCTATCGGAGGTGAGGGGGTGAGATCGAAGTGGAACGGCGAGCCCCCCACCGGGAAATCGGTTTCGGTTTCGTGTTCGTGCGTGCCGTGCGTGCGAGGAGAAACTGCGTGGGCGGGCGAGAAAGTCTTCTGTGGCTGAGGCGCGGCCGGACCAAATGTTTCTCTTCCGGGGCGCGGGGCCCCGCGGTGTCCCGCCGGTGTCCCGCGGCGTCCTCCTGTGGCTGAGGCGCGGCCGGACCAAATGTTTCTCACCCGGGGCGCGGGGCCCCGCGGTGTCCCGCCGGTGTCCCGCGGTGTCCCGCGGTGTCCCGCGGTGTCCCGCGGTGTCCCGCGGTGCCCCGCCGGTGTCCCGCGGTGTCCCGCGAGGATGATGATGATGAGATGATGATGATGATGATGATGATGATGATGATGATGATGATGATGATGATGATGATGCTGCTGCTGCTGCTGCTGATGATGATGATGATGATGATGATGATGATGATGCGATGATGGTGATGGTGTCCCGGTGAAGATGATGATGATGATGATGATGATGATGTTGATGATGGTGTCCCGATGATGAGGATGATGATGCTCATGATGATTATGTTGACGATGATGGTGTCCCGATGATGATGCTTATGATGATGATGATGATGATGATGATGATGATGATGATGATGATGATGATGATGATGATGATGATGATGATGTTGATGGAAATGGTGTCCCGGCGATAATGATGTGAATGATGATGATGATGTTGATGATGATTATGGTGTCCCGATGATGATGTTGATGATGATGATGGTGATGGTGATGGTGATGCTGATGGTGCCCCGATGATGATAATAATGATAATGACGATGTTGATGATGATGATGATGTTCATGATGATGATGGTGCCCCAATGATGATGATGATGATGATGATGATGTTGTTGATGATGATGATGATGTCGATGATGATGATGCGATGATCATGATGATGGTGTCCCGAGGATGATGACGATGTTGATAATAATGTTGATGATGAGAACGATGGTGATCATCATGGTGTCCCGATTATGATGATGATTATGATGCTGCTGATGATGATGACGATGACTGTGTCCCGATGATGATGATGATGGTGATGATGATGCTGATGATGATGATGATGATGATATGATGATGGTGATGCTGATGATGTTGTCCCGATGATGATGCTGACGTTGATGATGATGTTTATGATGATGATGACGGTGCCCTCATGATGATGACGATGTTTGTGATGATGTTGATGTTCATGATGTTGATGTTGATGTTGATGATGATGATGATGACGTTGATTGTGAGAGCGATTGTGATATCGATAGTGAGATCGATATTGAGACCGAATGTGAGATCGATTGTGTGATCGATTGTGAGATCGATTGTGAGATCAAGTGTGAGATCGATCGAATGAGATAGATCGAGTGAGATCGATTGTGAGATCGATCGAGTGAGATCGATCGAGCGAGACCGATAGTGAGATCGATACTGAGATCGATAGTGAGATCGATCGAGTGAGACGTTGGTTCCCACCCCCCCCGAACCTCCTTATCGCCCGAAGGGTGGTCGTATAGGTACGGCTATAGGGTTATAGGGTTATAGTGCTATTGGGATGTATGGCGATTGGGCTATTGGGCTATAGGGATATAGGGCTATTGGGCTAGGCACCCCCGGGAACCCCCGGGCACCCGGCCCCGGCCACCGAAATCGGCCGCTCACCTCACCTCAGCTTTATATCCGCTAGGACCCCTACAGAGGCAGGCTCTGATTGGGGAATTCATTCGCCGCTAAGGAGAGAATCACATTTACAAAAACCACCCGCCCTCGATTGCACATGTTTTGAACGAATGTGAGCGGCGCTAAGGCGAGAGCCACATTTTGGAAACCACCCGCCCTCAGTCTGTGAAACTCTGGAAGTTGTTTTAAAACGAATGTGCGCGGCGCTAGGGCGAGAGCTACATATTGAAAACGGGCCGCCCTCAATTCGTGGAGCTCTTGCAAATTAAAAATAGCGAATGTGCGCGGCGGTAAGGCGATAGCCACATTTTGAAAACCACCCGCCCTCCGTCTGTGAAACTGTTGCCAATGATTAAGCTTCAGGCCATAAGCAACGAAGTCTCAGGCAAAACGCCCGGCCCGCCCTAAAAACTGGCCTCGGGGTGCGACCGGGAGAAATAATTTGCAAGGACAAGGAATGGAGGAAGCCGCCCTCGCGGCCCTGAATGACCCTCGAAGGGCCCTTGACGAGAAGTCACGGGAACGGGAGGAGGTGGAAGAGGAGGGGGGGATGAGGAGGAGGAAGAGGAGGAGGAGGAGGAGGAGGAGGAGGAGGGACGAGGCGGCAGGAGCGCAACAGAAGGATGGAGACGCCGACGGCGGGAAGCGGAGAACGATGAGCAGCACGAAGATGAGAGGCAGAGGAAGGCACCACTCGAAGTAACCGCACTTGCTGAGATTGCTGGCTCTGCACGCCCAGATACCCGTAACCAAAAAAGAGCTCAAGTCTCGTATTCCCTGAGCTCCGACGCTGCAAACAAAAAATGCAGCATCGCAGAACATCTCGCCTGGAACCCCAGACGCCATCTTTCTGCGTCATTTTTCGAGCGGGATCGATATGTGAGGGTCCTGGGGCCTGAGAAAAGGCGAAAACGCCCGGCTCGAAAAGTTGAAGCGCCAGGGTCTCAGGGTTCGCCGACCTCTTGATGGGGCTCCTCGGCGTGCGAGATCCTCCGTTTGGATGGGCGGGGTCGGGCCGGGGGGGCGGCGGCAGTGGAGCTCGAACGGCCCCGCCGTCCAGAATCGCCCACTTGGCGACAAGCTGGCCCCACAGCATGCCTCCCGATGGCCCTCGAGATCGCGCAGGACGGCCAAGCTGGCGTCAAACTGGTCTCCTGCACGGGCCCAAGACACCCAGAGACCCCCAGGCTGCTCGGGGTGGCCAGGGAGCTCCCGAGAAGTGCCTCCGAGGGGCCCACGTCGTCCAT